TGATTATATGTCCTGGTGATTTCTTTTGTGGTCTATCCTATTTGGGGTTCCTTGGACTTCCTCGGTGGATACATTCTCATCTTTTGTCATATCAGGGAAGTTCTTTTCCAACAAATCTTGGACAATTTTCTCAGTGGTTTTCCTTTTCTCTTCCTGTTCTGGAATTCCAATTACACATAGATTATTCCTTTTGATGGTATCCTGCATGGACCGTAGGCTTTCTTCATTTTGTCTTGATCTTTTTTTTTTTGGACTGATTCCTTTCCCAAGAGTTATTCAGGTATTTGCTTGAATCTCATTAATTCTGTCATCCATTGATTCAATTGTACTCCTTTGCCTTTTCAGAAAATTTCTATTTCTGAAAATTTAGTATTAATATTCTGATTTTCTATCTGTAGATTTTGTATCATTTCTAATTTTTCATTTATTTTGTCATTTTGTTTTTGTATTTTCTTCCAAAATTGGTCTAGGGTTTTGTCTGTTTTTTTTCCTTAATTTTGTTAGTATATTCCTAGATCTGTTTCTCAATACTTTGAAGATACCTAAATATAATTCTTTTGAATTCCTTATTAGGGAGTTCCAATGATACTTTTTCCTCAAGGATAAAAATATGGAATGCTTTGTGAATTTGTGTTTCATTCTTGCTCAGGGGCCATGCTAATCTTCTCTGTATCATTCCAGTTTTAGTATATGTGCTGCGGAAGTGAGCACCCTGTGATCATTTTTAATGAAACATTAGGTTCCACTCTATTCATTCCAATCTTTTCCTAAGGCTAAAATTCTATTGAGTTATGTAAAAAGCATTTGACAGTATAATACCACTATTGGACGATGGGGTCACTATGAATCAGATTGAATTCAAAGGCATTGGGTTTTGGGTTTAGGATTATTTACCCCTATGCTAAATTGCTCCAAAATACTATACTTTTAAAATTTATGGTATATATTTTTAAATCTTTATCTCTTTTGACTTTTTTTTTAATCTCTTATACCTGCAGTTAGCATTATTAGGGGAAGACAGCAATGGTAGCTGAAAACATACAGTTGAGCAGGACTTTCATAATGCAAAATATTAACCTTATATTAAAGTTTATAGAGAAGATTTTCCAAGTCATGTTCTATGTGTATTATCCTTCACTACTTACTTCCCTTAGGGAAAAAAGTACTGCCAAGTTAGGAGTGTGTTTACTTCTGTATTCTCACCTTAGTACTAGCACCCATCTGTTCATGTGAAGTGAAAATATTCTGGAAAGGTCTTCTTAAAAGATTAGTTTGGAGTTTATAGACACTACTTTAGAAATCTCTAATAGAGATAATTGTAGACTAGAACAGGTAAGTTATGTACAAGAAACAAGAACATGAAACTTGCTTTGTCTAGTTTGTTGGCTTTATTTTTGATTCTACTAAGTGATCTTTTTTAAAGGCTAACCTTAATTGTTCCCTTGCTAAAGTCTCTTTGGTTTCTCATCACAGCAATCAAATGCAAGCTCCTTACCCTTGCCTAAAGATTTAACCTGATGCTTTTTTAACCATACGTTTTTGCAATCTTCCCTACACTTAACTCTGTTTCAGTAGTACTGACCTCTTTCTCAAAAAGTATCAAGCTCATTTATTTCTCAGGCTGTTTCTTTCTTTCTCTAGACTTCCCAATAGTCCCTTTCTGGGCACTACTGGAGTTTCAGTTCAGAAGTCAGCCCCTCAGGGTTACTTTTCTGATCATGCTCAGCTAAGCTGCCCTCAGTCCCCACTCCATACTCTCTGTCACTGTACCCCAGTGACAGTTTGTAGGTCACATTTGATTATGTATTTTTTATCTTCTGACCCTCTGTAAAATTAAGCATCTTTCAGGGTATTTATTCAGCTTTTTTTTCCTGGTTCATGCCATGATTAACCCATATTATATGCTTAAAATATACTGGTTTACTAACAGTTTGGTCTCTAAACCTAACTGTGATACTTATTATGAATGATCCATATATGGCTTTTTCTGTTTAATAGAAAGTAATTGAAGATAGAAATATGAAGAATAAAAAGTCAACAAATAATAGAGCATCGAGTGCATCTGGCAGGTAATCAAGTTATCAATATCCCTCATGTATGGGCTTTCATTGTAGGAAAGCTGTTTGTAAATTTAAATTTAAATTTGTGAAATAAATTCTATCTGATGGTGTTAGTTTTTTATATCATTTCTCTCTCTTAAGATTAATGGGATACTTCATGATAAAGCTCCTCACTTAATTATTCTCTTATCGAAGGAATTAATAAAAGGTTTAAGTCTAGTTTAAACAAGCTGGTTGTTTGTTTAAATGCCTGGAATGTTTATGCAGTACCGTTTGATCTCTGGATCTTCATACCTCAGGGACATTTTTCTTTTTCCCTGGCATCCATAGTTAGGGATTCCCCATACTTCACACCACTTTTGGAGTCAAGCTCCTTTCTCCTGCTTTTCTTGGTACTAAAGCTTAACTACAGTATTATACTTCTTATTAAATACATGAGAAAATGTACTGAAAGCCTGCAGATTCTATGGACTAAGTTTATTAAGATGTTAAGAATCTATATAGCTTTATCTACACTGGTGGATAACTTTGAGAAGAATGGGAATTCAGAACACTTAGTTGTACTCATGAGGAACCTGTATATAGACCAGGAGGCTGTAGTACAAACACAACAAGGGGATACAGCATGGTTTAAAATCAGGAAGGGAGTGTGTCAGGGTTGTATCCTTTTACCATATTTATTCAACTCGTATGCTGAGCAAATGATCCAAGAATCTAGACTATATGAAGAAGAACGTGGCATTGGGATTGAAGGAAGGTTTGTTGACAACCTGTGATATGCAGACGACACAACCTTGCTTGCGAAAAGTGAAGATGACTTAGAGCACTTACTGAAGAAAATTAAAGACTACGGTCTACAGTTTGGATTACACCTCAACATAAAGAAACAAAAATCCTCACAACTGGACCAATATGCAGCATCACAATAGATGGAGAAAAGTCTGAATTTGTCAAACACTTCATATTACTTAGTTCTACAATCAACACCAATGGAAGCAGAAGTCATGGCATCAAAAGATGTATTTCATTGGGCAAATCTGCTGCAAAAGATCTCTTTCAAGAGCTGAAGAACAAAGATATCTCCTTGAAGACTAGGATGTACATAACCCAAGCCATGGTATTTCCAGTCACCTCATATGCATGTGAGAGCTGGACAAGGAATAAGGAAGATCGAAGAAGAGTTGATGCTTTTGACTGGTGGTGTTGACCAAGAATGCTGAAAGAACTGTAGACTGATAAAAGGACTAACAAATCTGTCCTGGAAGAAGTGCAACCAGAATGCCCCTTGGTAGCAAGAATGGCCAGACTTTGTCTCACCTACTTGGGTCATGCTGTCAGAAGGGACCATTATCTGGAGAAGGATGTCATGCTTGGTAAAGTGGAGGATCAACAAAAGAGGGGAAGGCCCTCAATGAGATGGATAGATACAGTGGCTGCAGTGATGGGTGCAGGTATAGTAGGGATAGTGAGGCTGGCACAGAATTGGGCAGTGTTTTGTTCTATTGTACATAAGGTCACTATGAGTCAGAGATGACTCGACGGCATATAACAACAACAGCAGTGGTGATAAAATGTGCCTTACTCATAAATGCTAATCAAACCTTCTGAATCTTTAAAATTCTCACTAATCAAATTATCTTTAATCAAGAAAAGCAAGGCTGGCAAACTTTCTCTGTGCAGGACCAGATACTACATATTTTAGGTTTTTGGACCATGTAGTCTCTGTTGTATGAAAGCGACCATAGATATTATGTAACATGAATAGACTTGGCTGTGTTGCAATAAAACTTTATTTATAAAAACAGGCAATGGCCAGATTTTTCCACTGGCCCTGAAATAGAGGTTACTCTTCTTTCAAACTTTATATTTAGAATTTTTTATGTAACAAAATTATTAAGAGTGATTAAACTTCACTTTGTTAATATTACTTTTCCAAGTAATCTGAGATGATACCTATGTATTTAAAAAATGTTCTAATTACAAATACCTGAAAAGAACAATCACTTAAAAACTATATAACATAAAGGTACATAATTTAAATGATGTTGAATAGGGACTCTCTGTATCCTAAGAAAAGATTGTACATTGTGTCTATACCATTTATAAGGTAATTACAATAAATTAAGTTACAATGTGGTCTTCCAGTTGTAGTAGTTGCACATTCTAGTTTATCTCTATTCTACAGAATGCAATTGTAATGTTTGGTTTTTATTTATTTGTGTCTTTTCAGACTAATGACCTCCGCATTTTTAAAGAAATCCAGTTCTGTAAGGAGAACTAAGTCAGCAACTACCTCTTCTCATTATTTGGGGACTTTGAAAATTTTGGACCAAAAGCCCTCACAGAAACAGGGTGTTGAGCTTGACAAAGCAGATGACATAAGGGCAGCTATTTATCAGGTAAAAGGGAAAATATTTAGAAAATTAAAAGAAGGAAAAGCAGAACAATTAATAACTTACGGAAGACTACCTGTTTACCAAAGAATAAAGTAGTGCTATCAGGAGTGATGGTTAATAATTTTATTGAAAAAGAGCTTCCTTTAATACATGAGCAATCTAAAGCCTTTTTTACTAGTTTATTTACTTCCTTATTTGGCTTAACTGATTACAGATGTTTTTAAAGAAAGGAAATATATCACTGCAGTTTATAATATAAAAGCAAAAATGTTACAGAATCCACAAGTGTCTATAAAGTTTATATTATTATGGAAAAAAGTTTGTAAAATTTTCCTTTTGTAAAACTTATTTTCTTTGGACTTACACTGAAAACAGTTTTGCTAATCTTTTTATTTAAAAAAATAAAAAGGTGTTACTGTCTTTTTGTTTTTCTATGTAGAATAGTATATTTTGGAAAATATTACATGAGAATTTTAGAGAAAAATGGTTTATTACTTTCAACTTGGAAGTCTGTTGTTAATAGTAACAGGATAGCATACATGTAATTTTCTTAATTAGCCATCATTTAAAATATTACCAGAAAAAATAATTTATACTAGTTTATAAAGAATTTATAAACTTTGTTTTTTGTTTATAGTGGTTTAATCAGTATTTCAAAAATAGCTAAGAATTCAAATTAATTTGTGAAACATGAATATTATAACCTTTTTCTTGTACTCATAGGACTGGTTAGAAAAAAAAAATATTTATTTACATGAAATGCACAGAATTAAAAGGATTGAAAGTGAAAACTTAAGGATTCAAAATGAACAGGTATGAAATATAAAAGTAAAAAAAAAATTAACTTTTATGTCAGTGAAATATCTATGACTAATGTTTTTAAATCAGCTGTTTTTATATGGCACAATAATGTATCCCTCCTTGGGTTTCCCAGGCAGTATCACTACAGAAATAGATTGCCCGGTCTTCCTTCTGAGGAGCGGCTGGTAGGTTTGAACTGTCAGCCTCCTGTTTAGCAGTCAAATGCCTTAGGCACTATGCCACCAGAACACCTATAAAATAATTAGTTTCTGATTTTTATTTCTGTGTTACTTTGTAAATTTTTAATCTGATATAAATATAGCTTTTTTATGTAAATACATAGACATTTTTATTTTTTTATTTAACATTACTGATTATGAAGCTATTACTTTATTTTAGTAATTTCATCGGCCATCTTAATTATCTTAATTATCTATCATTTATTATAATGAAATACCTCTAAAAATTGCAAAAATAAAAATGTTAAACTAAGAGAAATCAACATACTATAGAGGCAAGTTTAGGCTTACCCTAGAAAGACTGGGTTAAATATGGGGCCAGTCTGGGGTGAGATGCCTGTGCTGATACAAATGGTAACATTATGCTCCATGTTAGGCAAAACACTTAGAAGCAAAAACCCAAAATGGCTATGAATTTGCTTTGAGCTGCCTGGGATCATTTTCAACTGTGTGTACTGTTCAGGAGAGTGCTGAATTATTGACCACCATCATAATGTCCATCTCTTTAATTCTGCTTTACCAGTCTGTCAGCTGTGTGGTTTTACTGTTCTCCTTATCCTTAATACCATTATTAATGACTTCACATATGCTTTTATAAACTTTCTCAAATTTGAATCACTTTGTGCACTACCATCACACTTTGCTGCCATTTGTCTGCCCCTTATGCTTTTTCTCTGCACTTACTTTAGGACTGCCAAGCAATGCTGGGGCAGTAGGTGAGATATTCTGATCAACCATTTTAATTCCCTTTGCTCCAGTATTATCATAACAATCCACATCTGAGAATATAGTGCTACTCTGGAATATTTTTTATTATTAAAACTCATTTTTTAGTCTATGACCTGACTGTAATTTTGGGCATGTTACTTAACCTTTATTTCTCAGTGTCATCATCTGTGAAGAAGTAATGATAGTGCCTATCGATAGGGTTGTTTGTAAGGCTTATATGAACTAAAAAATACGAGTATAATATATATGTGTGACTGAGTGTATGACACATTGTATAATTGGCACATAGGATGCACTAAGTGTATTTTAGTTATTGTTTCTCTTCCCAATTGTAGCTATTTCAAAATTTTGTCATGTTTTCTTCATTCTTTAAACTTGATCTTATTTACAGCTTGGCCAAGAATTAAAAACTCACCAGACATCAGCTCTGACTTTTCTTCTTTTCTGTTTTGAATTTTATCTTTACATTTAAGATCAGTCCCATACCCTTTCCTATTGATTGAAGCTGGAGTCTCATTTTGGTCTCACCTGCACTTTTAGTCTCTTCCTCTAGCTCCTCCTTGACAGCCTACAGATGTACAGATGTGCTCAGATCTCTCCCATCTTCAAAATAAAGGCTGTGAATAAAACTATATTTGTTGTTCTGTTTAGTGTTTAAATGAAGTTAAAAAGGCATTCCCAAAATTAACAGCACTAGGAGTCAGTACCATGTGGGACAACCCAAAATGAGATGCCTACAAGCAACAAACATGTTATCACATTTATGGTATTAGTCTGCTCTGGTTAGAGCAATGTACCTTCTTATTTAATTTTCATAGCTCTGTGAATTAGGTAGTACTTTTATTTCCTAATTAGTTTTTCTCATAATAAAATTTTAAGTCGTTTGATATTGAACAATATTATAAAGCAAATATAGAATACTATGGAATTAGGAAATTGAGGTAATAAAACACACTTGTTATCCAGTAGCCTGCATATTTTCCAGTATGGTACATATTGTAAGCGTTTCCAATTTTTATGAGTAGTAAGAACCTGATACTTTGGTATCATCCAGTACTAGAGCTCAAACAAAATGTCTGCACTTGTGTGAACTTGGCCAATTTATCTTACTTTAACTTGCTTTGTGTTTATATGTGTATAACTTTCTTGTTACTTTTCTTTTACCTATATGGTTTATATATTTTATTATGGAACATTTTATAGTACCACTCATCCTATTGCAGTTTATTTTCATAATGTTTGCTTAGTATACTTTGAGAACAAATGGTTTACTTCATTCTCATAAATGTAATAGAACAATAAGTGATAAGTGCTTTTGGCAAATGCACATTAAAATGCAATGGATAATTCAGATGACTTGTTTTATAACTCAACTTGTCTAAAGCATTCTATATAAATTACTTGTTTTGAAACATAATTTCTGTATAAGATGAATGTCAGTTATTAAAGATAAATACATGTGATATACATTTATATTATCTATCTACATGTGTATATGTATACTGATATCCACACACATATAAGCCTATTATTTTTCCAAAATAGAAAAAAGCTGCTAAGAGAGAAGAAGCAGTAGCATCATTTGAGGCATGGAAAGCTATGAAAGAAAAGGAAGCAAAGAAAATGGCTGCAAAGAAGAGGCTTGAGGAGAAAAGCAAGAAGAAAACTGAAGAGGAAAATGCTGTGAGAAAAGCAGAAGCACTACAAGTATTGAGTTTTGAGTATCTTTTTCAAGAATTATTTCTAAACATTTAAAATCTTTGTTAGTGATTAACCATATTTTTCTTCTTGTGAAAATTATTAAGTAAGTGAAAAAGAAAATTGATGTCAGTAAATAAGAAAACAATTCTGAATTTGTTTAGGCTTTTGAGAAGTGGAAAGAGAAAAAGATGGAGTATCTTAAAGAGAAAACTAAAAAGGAGAAAGAATATGAAAGAGCAAAGAAGCAGAAAGAGGAGGAAGCTGTTGCTGAGAAAAAGAAATATAACTTGACTGCAGTTGAAAAGTGGTAAATATTTTGATAGATTTTAAACCAATAACACTTCAGACTTCACTAGAATTTATTTACTTGAAGTTTACTGATGCATCTTAATCTCATTATTGCCAAAGATTCATTTGGGAGTCATTTATATTATATAACTTTGCAGTGTTTTATATTATCCTACATAGGAATGAGAAAAAGGAAGCATTTTTCAAACAAAAGGAAAAAGAGAAAATAAATGAGAAAAAAAAGGAAGAACTGAAAAGAGTTGAAAAAAAAGATAAAGATAAACAGGCTCTTGATGAATATGAAAGATGGCTGGTAGGTATTGTTTTTTAATGCATTTGTATTTTGCATCTGTACAGATTTTATTTATCTTTTGTACTGGTCATTTATCAGCCCAGTCAACTATTGAATAGTGAGCCTTTCTTAGATAGTGGTATGCAAGGTGTTTATAAGTTATCTGAGAGCCTATATCCTGTCCTGTCCCTTTTAGCACCTTTCACCTTAATTTATTCTCTCATCCATAATCTTCAACTCTCCTTCTACTAAATTCTAAATACACACACACATGTTCTTTCTCTTTATTACTTTTCTTATTGCAATTCCCATTCTAACTATTTTGTCATTCTTTAGAACCACACTATCTGGAATCTTATCTTTGTGACTTGTTCCATATTGCTATTATTTTATTTAGTTTAAATCATCTTTAAATATTTCCTGAAAATTTTATGCTTGAACCTCTTTTCTATTTTTTTTTTCAATCTTCATTCTCTCCGTAAAGATCATTTCCCTTTCATAGGGAAGAGCTGTTAGCTTCACTAGATATTTCTTGATCTGTATTTCAATACCTATCTTTTCTGCCTCTAATTTCAGATCTATTTGCCTCATGTCTACTAATTATTTGTCCCTAGACTAAGCTGACTTGATGAATTCACACTCTACTTCTGTACAGATCCTATTTTCTTCCCAAGTTACTCATTTCTATGCATGCTTCTACTATTTCCTCAAACACTCAGACTTAAAACTTCAGAGTCATAATATTCTCCTTCACCTGTACACCACCCACATTTAGTCATTTCCCAATCATGCCCATTCTTCCTGTGCAATGATTCTCACATCTAAAACCATAGAACGCAAACAACTATCCTAATTAGGTTTTGCCAGATGATTTTAGATGGAACTTAGTGATGATATATTGTAACATTGAATTTAATGGTGAAAAAGTTATTCCCTTTTTTTATTTCTTTTCCAGTCTTTCTGATGACCTCAAGGAGAAAGTCTTATTTAGATGTTTTTAATGAAAAGAGAGCAAGTAAGAGGTTTGAGAGGAATAATATCTAGCTGGACTTTCTTAACATTCTTTAATTTGTATCCATGTACTTATGTATATGGTTACATTTTATTTATGTCAAGAAAAATACTGTTTTCTAATTTAAATTATCAATGTAAGTATTTTATTAACTTTCGAGCAAGTAATGCATTCAGATAAATGGGTATTTTCCATCAATAGGTAATGCATTCACATGATTCATTAATCAGAAAGTGTAAAATTATATATATTGAAAATATCATCCTTCCACTCTTGCTGCCCAGTCACTTAATTTTTTACTTCCTACCCATATAAGTAATGACTATAGTTAATGCTTCTAGAAACAAATATGAATATTTTTTTTACACAAATAGCACACTATATATACACTGCTCTTCACCTGGCATTTTCCATCTTATATCTTAAAGACGTTGCCTTATCAATATATATAGAATCTGCTCATTTTTTTCCACAGTGCTTAATACTGTATTATCTTGGGCTTGCCATTATTTATTTAACCCATCTCCTAGTGATAGGCATTTATGTGGTTCTCCATTAGTTGCTTTTAATAACAAAGCTACATCGAATAAATCTATAGTCATTCTTACAGATGCATAATATGGATAGGATAAATTTCTAGCATGAAATTACTGGGTTAGAGATTTATGTATTATAATTTTGATAGCAATTACCAGAGATGCCTTATATAGAGGTTGTGTAGTTTTGCAACTGATAGAGAAAAGGATCTATTTCCCCATAGTCTATTCAACAGAGTTTATCACACTCTTTTTTTTTTTTTTTGTAGTTCATGCCAATCTCTTAATTGTGTCCAGAGTATTTTTGATTTGCATTTTTCAGGTTAGACTGAGGTTGAGTATCTTTTCATTTGTTTAACAATCATTTGTATTTCTTCTCTTCTGTAAACTGCCAGTTCATAGACTTTGCCTATTTTCTATCAGGTTGCTGGTCTTTTTCTTATTTATTTCTGGAAGCTTTTATGTATTAGGAAAATTACCCTATCACTTGTAATATCAGTTGCACATATTTTTTCCTAATACATTGTTGGTCTCTTAATTTTACTTACGGCATTTTGTGCTGTGGAGAATTTTGTTTGTAGGTATATTATTTATCAGTTTTTTTTTTTATCTTTTGATTTCTGATTCTCAGTTGTAGCTGAAAATGCCTTCCTTGTGACTTGAGGTTAAAAAGCATTTTCTAATTTCCACTACTAATAATTTTTTATGATTTTAATTTTATAACATTTGATCTATTTACAATTTATGATGATATATGGTAGAAAATATGATTCCAAGTTTTAATTTTTCCAAATGCATCTTTTCTAGAATAGATCATCTTTTACTCAACAGTACGAGATGCTGCCTTTCATATGTCCTTTTGGGTCTGTTATTAGACTCTCTGTTTCATCGGTCCATTGTGACTTGAGGGTTTGAACTTCTAGCCTTCTGGTTAGCAATCACATACCTTAGGCACTACACCACCAGAGTTCCTTGTATGCTTCTCTAGACCTCATTTACTAGACCTCTCAACATTCTCCACAGTTGTTTCCCCTCTCCTTGTAATTATCACACTACCCTTGTTTTCATCTCTTCTCTCTACTTTTCTTCTCATTGTCATTTGTTGATTTCTTCTCTTTTACCACAACTCTGAATGCTAACATGGCCTATAAGATCCCATATTAATCTTACTCATCTTTCCTCTTCATTTTCATTCAGTGTCCCTCTCCCATGTCCCACAAAGCTTTGGTCACACTGGCTATCTTTTGTTCCTCTCTATATTCCAGGTGTTTCCCCCACTCAGTGCTCTCACACATACTGTTCCCTCAGCTTGGAATACTCTCCCCTCAATGTACATCATGAGGGTTCCCTTATCCATAATGCCCCACTTTAAAATGCCATTCCCTATATCTACATTCTTTGATAAGTAAGTACATTCTTTTATTCTCTGTCACAAAAGCTTGTATCTCTGTTTTGTAGAAATCCACACAATTTGGAAATATGTGTTATTTATTTTTTATTTTGAAAGTTCCCTTAGGGACAGTAAATTTCTGGGCTTGGATTTTATAAACATATTATGTCTGACCCAGAATAGCATCTAGTGCTTAATAATTCAATGAACAAACACAAATTGAAGCTGCATAATACCAGTAGAATAAAAAGAAAATCATCTTGGTGCCATAATCATGGAAACGATTGAATTTGTGGATTGTACATCTAGATAGATTAAAGTTTTAAAATCAATAGTCATTGGAGAGTAGGCAAATACTGTTACCATAGGCTCTTTATAATGAGCCCACATCAGAAACTTTTACATGTAAAGATGTGGTATGTGATAAAGTAATATAAATTAATGGAGGTACAAAACAATTACTGGTAATATTTATGTGACATTTGGAAATAAAATCACTTTAGAGAATTGCCTTTCAACAATAGAAACACTAAAAGCATTAAAGTGTTAAATAACAAAAAGCCAAATAATAGAAGAAGCAAAAGAAGGTAGAACTTAATATTGTGTTCTGTAAGTTCTTAATATTCTCAGTCTTATGAGAGTGAATACCTTTTTAAAATTTGTAAGTGCTAGAAGAAATTACAAAGGAAAAGATGAACAGAAATCAAATTTTGAAATATCAGTACATTAAATTAAAAGTCACTGTAGGCATTGGTAGGAGTGTAAAGTCCTAGAGCCACTTTGGAGGATAATGTGACATTATCCAGTAAAGTGAAGCATGTGCTTCCCCATAAACCAGAAGTCTCACCTCTAGCATATACATAGAGAGAGACCATTGGCTTATATGCACAAAGAACCAAAGATGTTGGTTGGTAATAGCATTACTTTCAAGCAGGTGAAAAAAATTGGAACATTATATATGTCTTCAACCAAAGAATAGATAAATTGTGATATGTTTGTATGGTGGAATTCTGTATATGAATGAACTACAGCCACAGCTCCAGACAAATAGATCTTAGAAATATAATAACAATAAAGAAGTTGCAAAAGAAAATATAGCATGATACTTTTTATTACAAAGTTTAGAAGGCTGCAAAACAAAATTGTTATTTATGGATGAGTACATGTACAATGGGAGCGCTAGTAGCATAGTGCCTAAGGCATTTGACTGCTAACCAGAAGGCTGGTGGTTCAAACCCACCAGCCACTCATCGGAAGGAAGATGGGGCAATCTACTTCCATGGTGATACTGCCTAGGAAACCCAAGGAGGGGTTGCTATGATTTGGGTGTGACTCGACGGCACATAACAACAACAACAACAACACATATACAATAGAAGTACAAGCCAAAAAAATCCCAAGTCACTGCCATTGAGTCAACATTGACTCATAGTGACCTGAAGTAGATTGCCCAAGAGATGTGTTACAATGTAGTGGTTACCTCAGTGGTGTGGACAGAAGGGCAATTTAGTGAGAGTGGATGCTGGGGGCTTCAGAGGTATTGGTATTTCAAAAGGTAGATAGTGGGCATTCTTTAAACAGTTTTTCATGATTGGAAAATTTCTTAATACATTTTTGTGAAAATTAAGGACTAGGAAAGAATGTAGATAAAATGTTTGTTGCAAGGATAATACTAATATTTGGTATAAGAAAATATGCAAATTTCTAACAATTAAAACCAGTGATGCCAAAGCAGTTTGTTGTTGTTAGGTACCGTCAAGTCGTTTCCGACTCATAGGGACCCCATGCACAGCAGAACGAAACACGGCCCGAACCCGCACCAGCTCCACGATCCCTGCAATACTCGAGCCCATTATCACAGCCACTGTGTCAATCCATCTCGTTGAAGGCCTCCCCCTCTTTTGTTGACCCTCCACCCTACCAAGTATGACATCCATCTCCAAGGAATGGTCCCTTCTGACAACATGACCAAAATAGGTGAGACGAAGTCTGGCCGTTCTCACTTCCGAGGAGTATTTCGGGTGTACTTCCTCCAGGACAGATCTGTTAGTTCCTTTAGCAGTCCATGGCACTTTCAGCATTC